GGGATCTTTGTTAAAAGACCACGGACATTTTGGTAGAAAATATTAATTATAAAAAATTTCCAGCACGGGCATTAAAACGGTTATCTTTAGTCACGATGGTAGGAGTTCCTCTTATGTATTTAATGATTAAATTAATTTCACCATTTGATCTACGAGACTCTAGTTCATCACGAAGTTTTTTCATATAGTTTCTCTGATAAAGAGTGCGATCCGAACTGATACCAATAGTGGAAGGTGTTTGTAATGATAACAACTTTTTTTTTGACCTCAATATTTCAAACACATCAGCTGGTGTGCTAAAAACAGCTTTAATTGGACGGGGATTATTTTTACCATGAATACCAAGACGAATAACTTTAGACGGTCTAATATCCCCACTAGTAATAATCGAATCAATTACATTACTCACAAGATTAGAGTCATGATTAACTCGGTCGACTGCATTATCAAGGTTGGACTCTGGAACGTTGTAAAATATTAGATTAGATGCTCTGATATTGCGTTCGCCGACTTCACCAATTATAAACTCCTCAGAAAAATTTTGAGCGTTGTTATTTTGCTTCTGACTCTTTAGTTCATTAACTTCAGCTAATAAACGATTAATTAATAGTTTAAGTTCGGGAATATCACGCAAACCCTTATTGCATGCTTCGCAAAAAAATTTCAAATTTCGATTCTTCAAACCAAGACATTTTATTTCACTATTATTAAGACCTGAGCATTTGTTATGTATTAAAACGTTACAGCCATCACACTTCATAGGAAGATCAAACTCAGCAAAACCAAGATTACAAATATAACAGTTTACACTATTTGAAGCCATAAGAAAAGTTACGAATAATAACAATAGAATAAAATAGTAACAAAAAATAAGCACAACCTTACGGTACGACTGTACAATATAAACTATAATATAAATTTTACATATGTTAATAATCGTTTATTAGAGCTGAGTCGCTTACAATTTAACAATTAAAACCATAATAATCTTTTTTTTTTCTTTTGNATACAATCACATACACAATTATTAAAATACTTTACACCTACTGCACACACCTCTCATTGATAACATTTATTAAAAAAAACTAATTAAATTCTGCAATAATACAGCTTATCTGGGCCTTGCCATAGACAAACGTCTAAAATTCGGGCAGCACATTACTCGTGCGGCATGACAGAAAGTCATGAATTGCCTGGCGGGACTCATGTCCAATCTGGGAGGGCTGAGAGTGATGCGGCGCAGACTTCTAAGCAGGGTCGTACACTCGGTTTTCCTGTACGGGTCCCCGGTTTGGGATACTCTTGAGTATTCTTCCAAAACCGTGAAGCCCTGCTCAGGGTGCAGAGGCGGGCGGCGAACCGGACAGTTTCGGCGTACCGAACGGTGTCCGGAGTGGCGGCGGGTATCGTGTCGTCACTGCCGCCCGCTGAGGAACGCGCCGCCGAGAACGCAACCGGTCTCCCGAACCCGAGGACCGGCAAGCGCTCAGGCGGATGACCATGCTCCGGTGGCGGACTCGCCTCTCGGAGGTAACGACGAGTTTGTAAAAAATATTGTAGCCGGCAGAAAAAAATCACGGTTATGTACAAAAATCATCTTCAACATCATTCACTCTCATCAATTTTTGATCTTATGTGCCGTACCGAGAATGTACGTGTAAAAAGATTATAATTATGCAACATTAAGAAAAAACCACTCATTAGTTATAACTACAAATAATCCCGGTGCAACGCTCCTGATTTCAACACTTATCAAAAAAATGTTTTTATTTTATATTTCAGACAACTAAATAAACAAATACCAAAAAAATAAATAGATGTTATATTATTATTTATTTTATGTTTTCATAAATATATGATTAATTTAACTTCAAATTATGTTTGATGATGAATTTTATAGAAAATGTTACACGAAAAAAGATATTGTAAATTACAGCATTTTTCAAAATTTTACTATTGGATTGGAAGTCTCATGTTTATAAATTAAAATAGTATAGTATAAAAATATATTTTCTTATACTAAGAATTATGCAGAATTTTTTTAATTTTTTTAATGTCTATTTCTTTAATGCGAAACAATTGCATAAACCGAATTTTATTGAACTTGTGATGGCCCAGTATATATACTCTTTTATCTGTTTCCAATTGATATTCAATCTAAAATCATAAGTTAATTTTGATTAGTTTCGATTGATAAGTTTAACTATAAAACGATAGCACAGTGGGGTCGGGGCACAGTTTGGACGTGGCATAGTCGGAACAAGTATACTATAGTTAATCTAATATTATTACATTATTGACTATTTACTGCTACGTCTATGTATTTATATGGATTTTAATTTAACATTTATTTTGAGGTTCTAATTAACAAGGTCATTGAAAAGCTTTAATGGTTCAATGATGATTAGAGGATAGTCTTTAAGTGTAAGAATAACTGATGAATAATCATAATTTAAAGGAAAAATACTGTAAGTATAAAAGTTAAGGATATGGAATAATAGACATATAAATGTCAGTAACTACCAATTATCAATCATAGCAGACAAGTAACTATTCATAGAAGAAAAAATGTGTGTATTAAGATTACACGCGTTTGAAGTGAAACTTCTTCAGAGTCATTTATCTGATAGAATATTAGGTTTTTGATCACGAACAATGAGTCCTTCGTACGCTCGTTACCCTGCAGATATGCAGGGTAGCCGTGATATAAGCCACTTTTCAAAGGTTGAGCCGCGCTGGTTAAAAATCCAATCCAAAAGATTGGAGTGCTTAACGCACGATGGTTCCCGCTCCCCCGGGGACTTCCGTAGCTCGGTGACATCCATCATTAAAATGATGAGGGAGGATCTTGCCGTAGGTTGCGGATTTAGCCATGAAAGTGTCAAAACTTACGATTCCTTTGATGGAGTGGTGGAGGCAGAAAGGGCTAACCTAATGTCTCGTTGTGTCTTTTAAGACCCAACGAGACAAAAATGACAAAATCGGAAGAAAATATAATCTTACTAGGAGATTGGAATGCACAAGTTGGTGAGAAGAAAGATAGAAACATAGTAGGTAGATATGGACTTGGGAAAAGAAACAACAGAGAAGAAAGATTAATAACATTTTGTGCCGAACATAAGCTAATAATAGCAAACACGATTTTTCAAAATCACAATAGGAGAAGATATACACGGCTAGATATCAGATATACTACATTATAGTGAAACAAAGATATAAAAATCAAATGAAGCAATGTAAAGCCTACTCGGGTGCCGATGTCGATAGTGACCACAACTTAATAGTATTGGAAACAGAACTCAAATTAAAAACACTCAAGAAAAATAAACCAAAAATTAAATTAAATTTAAATAAGTTAAAACAAGAAGATATCAGAACGAGGTTTACTATAGAATGTAATAATGCAATGAACAATCATTGGCAAGAAGAAAATAAAAGTATTAATAAAGTATAAATAAAAGATATTTGGAACCAACTCAAACAAACCCTAAAGGAGAATACTAACAATATTTTAGGAGTAAAAAGGAATGACACAAAGAAACCATAAATAACTGAGGAAAGCATAACGTTAATAGAGGAGAGGGGGAAGTTTAAAAATTATAGTAATACAAGTAACCAACATAAATATAAAAAACTTAAGAATTTAATACAGCGAAAAGTAAAAATCGCCAAAGAACAATGGCTAAGTGACATATGTCAATATGTTGGAGAATATATAAAACGAAGACGGCGTGATCTAGCATTCACAAAAATACGAAAATTTTTTCAAGAAGAAGGTAAAATTAAAAAAGGTACAAATGCCTTGTTAAGGAAAGATGGAAAAATACTAAATGAAAAATAGAAACACAGCAAAAAATAAAACGACGGATAGAATATTTGGAGGAATTATACAATAGAAAGCTAAATAAAAACGTGTTAAAAGAGGAGAAAACCTTAGAAAATGACGAGTCCTTCAGTCAGAATTCAATATAGCGGTGGAATATACTAAAAACAAAAAGTAAGTGGAATAGATGAAATACCAGTAGAATTATTAAAAAATGGAGGACAAGCTAAGAAGACTAAGTTATATAAGATATGTACTGAGATATATCAAAGAGAGGTGATGATAAACGATTTTAAACACGGATTGGTCGTAACGTTACCAAAAATGAGAGGAACGATAAAATGCAAAGAACACAGAACAATAAATCTTACATCTCACGCTTCCAAGATAGTATATAGAATAATAAAGTCACGAATAGAGAGTAAAATAGACTCAAATCTAGGGACTGATCAGTTTGGTTTTAGAAAAGATATAGGCACTAGAGAAGCAATTCTATCATTGAGAATCCTAATAGAAAAACAAATAAGAGTAAATAAAGCTGTAATAGCTTTTGTTGATCTTTAAAAGGCTTTTGACAATGTAAATTGGAACAAAATGTTTGTTATATTAAAAAGACTAAGAACAACTTATAATGATCATAGAGTTATATACAACCTACACAAGAACCAAGTGATACAAATTCAACAAAAAGATGGAATAAGAAGAATTAGCGAGAATTGGTAAGGGAGTAAGGTAAAGATGCATTCTGTCCCCTATTTTGTTTAATATGTATAATAGGATGTTTCATATTTTGAAAATTTTGGAAATTCTTCGAGTGCACCCCCAAAATGTGTGTGTATACATATAAAAAGTGGCTACAAAAAATTTCAGGCCGATCAGATAAGTTTAACCCGTGCCGACTTGGGGTTGAAAATAGGCCAAAAGGGGTACTTCTTTAGTTTTTAGCAATTAAATCGTAAACTGTAGCTTCTTTTTTTGTCAAAGAGTTGAATGCAAATTTTTAAACGATTCGATATCAATACTAATTTTTTTAAATTAATTGCAAGTAATTGGAATACTGATGATTTTTATTTACACGGGAAAGAAATTGTATGTTCACTTAAAGTAGTAAATGACTCTGCAAAGAGAGCGTTTAAGCTAATGGAAGATTTTCATGTTTAACTGTAAAGGATGAAAAAGCTGAGTTACTTTAAAGCTGTGTCCAAGAGCATGGAAAATTATATCCTAATTGCAACAAAGAAACATTAAAACATAGTTTATAATGTATATTTTTGTTATAATTTATGAATTTTGAATTTAACATATTGTATTTTATGTAGTAATTTTTTTTTTTTTTATACAATAATATTGAGAAGTATTATAATGCGTTTTAGTCAAACAAATACATTAATTTACAATTGAATATTTAACATAAATGAAATACATTTAAATTAGCAATAAAATTCATATATTTAGTAAAAGTCGTAATATGATCGAGCTATTTCAGCTATAGCAATAAAACGATCTGTTCAATGAAATTTGTACTTGTAATTTTATTTCGTAAAATTTAATTTTAAACAATTTTTGTATGAAACATTAGGTCATATCACATATGGTTCGTCATATATGTTGAAATATTCGTAAATATGACAATTTCGGCAATTTTACGTAATATTATGTATTTTGATATTTATAAAGAAAACTAATGTATTTAAATGAAAAACTGTAAGAACTTAATTTATATAAAACAATTAGACCTACAATTTAGTCTCAATATATTTTTTTTTTTTTTGAGAGCCCTAATTTACGAGTTAATTGCTAAAATCAAAAAAAAGTACCCCTTTTGGCCGATTTTCAACACCAAGTCGGCACAAGTTAACACATATCTGATCGGCCTGAAATTTTTTGTAGCCGCCTTTTATATGTATACACACAAATTTGGGGGATGAGCCCGATGAATTTTCAAAATAAGGGACACCCTAAAGTATATTGAAGAAGCTATAAAAAAAATTAAAGATGAAATACGAGTAAGAGTCAGAGTAGGTGGACAAAAAGTAATAGCATTTCAATTTGTAGATGATATAGCGTTTTGCACTGAAAAAGAAAAAAACTTGTAATTATTACTTGAGAAAACGGAAGATATCTTAGGAAATTACGGAATGAAATTAAACCAAAATAAGACCAAAGTTATTTCATGTAGCAAATTACTTAGAAAACGGCTTAACATAAACATTAAAGGTGAACCGATTGAACAAGTGCAAAGCTACTGCTATCTTGGCAGTAAAATAAACGACGACGGTAAAATAAATAGGACCTGGACAATAAGCGCAACTGAGAAGAAAAAATTAGAAGCTTTTGATATGTGATGTTACCGAAAGATGCTCAAAATTATATGGAGCGACAGAGTAACAAATGAAGAGGTCTGGGAAGAATTAAAGGAAAATAAAACAAATATGGTTGGAAAGTGCATACACTGCGCCATGATAGATTACTGAAGCAGATTATTGAAAGATATGTAGGAGGAAAAAGTGGAAGAGGAAGACCAAGAATAGAATACATTTCACAGATTATGAAGGACATGGAAATAGGTAGTGATCGAGATCTAAAGGAGCTGAGTTTTAACAAGGAAGTTTGGAAAGCTGCGGCCAACCAATCGTGAGATTGAAGACTGAAAAAAAAAATAATTTTATCATAAAATATAACTTACATAAATTGATTTTGATGAAAAATGATGAAAATATGTTTCCGCTAAAAAGTAAACACATAAAGTAAATTGAGGGATTGGATATTTAACTGTTGGTACCGAAAATTCAGCCTAAAATTAAAATACAAAATTATATATTTATATATAAAAAAACAGTAGCACAGTGGGGTCTCTGCACAGTATGGAAGTGGCATAGTTAGGACAAGTATAGATGATATCTGACAATGATTAAAATCAATATGACATGGATAGTTATAAGGTCAATAAACGTTTTAAAATAATGTCAAAAAAATGGATGTAATGGCAATAGCCTAGAGAAATAAAAAGAAAATTCAATAAATATATATTAATTTAAATTAAAGCAAAAAAAAAATGAAATACAACTTATGATGCTGTAATAGATATATAAAAGTACTTTACAATGTATGTCACATGAAGAAAAAACGGATGGCGTTAGTTCGCGTAGGACGTCAAATGCAAGATAGAGCGTTCGAACTGTGGTCGACCGTACTCCGTTAAATAGACTTTGCACCCTAGCTAGATAGCGGGGTACTATAATTAGGCTCGGCTGGCGAAGTAATAAGACGGCTGATGACAGAAACAAGGTATTAAACATATCACAAAATATATAAAATATACGGTACCGTGTCAAATATCATAAGAAACGCTTCGATACAAATATGCAGATAGTGTTTAATTTAAAAAAAAATTTTTAAAGGCAAAATTAACTCCTATTTCTGGTTCAACATTTACTTCATATAGAAGTTAAGTCATCAGGACAATTTTTTTTTTTTTAACTTGTATGTAATATAAGCTTTAATTTAACTTATATATAAAGAAAACAACGAAATCAATTTATTGTTTTCTTATGTTTTAAGTTCATTGTGTGGTAGACTGATATGAATGATAAGAAGATGTATGCTCTTATCATCATAGCAGTCGACTGCTATGATATAGTTAGTGTAATGAAAAAAGAGCACAAATTACTTATTTTTGCAACTCTTAATTAATATTATAATTATAATTGTTGTTACTATTAGTAAAGTAAAAACTTCTATTGTTGTTTTCTTTTAATTACAGAAACGCAACTTGGGTTTTTATAAAAAAAAAAGGGGAATTAAATAAACAGAATTATAAAGATCATTATATATATTTAAAAGACGCAGTATTTTCGAAAAAATTAAAAAAGTTCTACTTTTTATATATATTTTAAAATTTTGAACGCCCCCAGTATAAGGGGAATTTTCCCCTTATAACCTCATATTTTATTTTAAAAAAAAGTGTGTTGGATGATAAAGGTATATATAAAGTATTTAGAAACAAAAATTTGTATTCATCCATACATTTTTCAAATGTTAAAAGTGAAAATTTTACACACCAAAATTGCATGTTTTTAATTTTCATTTTGACACGGTCCCGCGGCGCTTTTCGATAAATGGAGCCCAGCGACACGTGGCATCTTTATCAGTCTTCGCCTTACTTCGAGTATATGGTAGTTTGACTGACTAACACCGCGTGCGATACGCCACGGTACAAAGTCTAGCAAGTGTCGCACGTCTATCTACGACCCGCCGCAAATATACGTTGAGTTATCTTCATGATGCCGCACGGTACAGATCCGTGACACATATTGTTTTTTTGGATTACAGACTTTCCGCACTCGACACTGTCGCTGTTTGTTTTAAGTGTATTACTTTATTATTGTAATCGTTTCAAATATTTTAATTGTGTGATAATCGTGATTATAATGAACGGCTAAACCTCACTTCTCTTTTACAAAATCCGGTGTCGATTATTTATTTGTCTAACGACCCGTGCCGTAAAGATTAAATTTATTCTTTTTTCAGTATTTCATTAATATATTTCTAAATTTTTAATTTAGTTAAAGTTATTTTTCTAAAAATGTTTGATATTAAATGTCTTATAAATTGAACTAAACAGTCTTATAGTTAATTTTTATTTAATTTATTGTAATAAATTAAAAAATTTGTAATTAATCGATTACCTTTATATTTATTTATTTATTTATTCAACGGGATTGACCCTTATTATACAAAAATATACAGTGGACGCCGCTTATTGGACTCGCGGTTAATTGACTCATTTGCTTATTAGACTCAAAACGCCTAGTCCCTATTTACACATATGCTAACATACAGCAAAAAATTCGTATATTCGACTCACACACCGGTTAATAGGGTCATTTGAAAATTAGATAAATAAAAATAATGTGTACATACATTGAACAAACGTGCTATAAATACGTTATAAGTCGGTCCTAGTAAAATTGCTTTTATCGTGGAGATAAAATAAATTACCTTTTCACGATAAACGAAGCAGTCTTTAATGTCAATTAGTACGACAGGTAGTGTATGAATAGACGTCGTCGTGTACAGTGTGTTGTTTGTGTTTACGTTCTCTGTAAAAATTTTCATTTTTCGTGTTACAATGAACAAACGACGTGATTTGAGTGTAGAAGAAAAATTAGATGTTCTTAAAAAATATGACGAGCTTCCGCAAATGAGCCAGCGACAAGCAGCATGTAAGTTAAACGTGTCTCAAAGTTTACTAGGTAGGATGCTAAAAAGTCGACAGAAAATCGAAAATGCATCATTAGCAAATGTGAATTCAAACCGGAAAAGAAAAAGAGTCGGTAAAGAAGAAGAAGTTGAAGACGCTTTGAAACAATGGTTCACAGTCAAATACAGTCAAAACGGCCAAAAGAGAATGTGGCTGGTGATAGTGATGAAGAGGAACCTGATGAAAAACCACCATCAACTAAACAAATGCTAGAAGCACTTCAAATTCTACGCAGAGGGATTCAGCAAAGAGGCGATTTTGACGTATTCGAGCAACATAAATCCTACGAAAATATGATAATGAAGTTAGCCGAAGACGGAAAAGTCCAATCAACCCTAGATGAATTTTTATCAAAAAATTAGTTTCATTAGTGTTTTATTGACATTTATGACTACTGTCATTATTATTTATTTTGTTATTTAACTTTGTATAATATTACAAATATACATATTATATAGTCTTCGTAGGATTTTAATTTTCGTCTCGTCGTTACCTCTTATATAATATGAATATATATATATATATATATATAAATATTAGTGGACGCCGTTTATTAGACTCATTCGGTTAATGGACTCAAATGGTCAGTTCCCAAAGTGAGTCCAATAAGCGGCGTCCACTGTAGTTACAGAAACTGAAAAAAAAACAGTAACATAAAAATAATAAACGTTAAGAAAAACAAACATTTAAACAAAAGTATGTAAAATAAATGTTTAATTGAAATTAAAAGAGGGGTCTTCATTGACATTACTCATCAACGTTTAATTGGCTCATTATAAAAATAATTAGAAGAACAGATAGGTATGAAGAAGGGAGCGTGATTTCTGGATTTTTTTTGGGTAATTTTAAATTTAATTAGTGCTAAAAGAGATGGAGAGTCAACTTTACCATCATGTAAATTTTTTAAGAATTTAGTACCTAGGGCTATCAGAAAGTGAAGTAAGATTAAGGTATTTGGCAATAGGTCAGTGTTTATGTTGGGGATGAGGAATATCGTTGTACTCTTTCAACCAAACAAGTGTCGTTGTCTGTATGTAGATTCCAGATGATAGCGCCATACTCCAAATAAGACTAACTAACGCGCAAAATAGTGTTTTTATTACTAATTTATGTTTAAAGTCAGAAGCTATCCTCATTATAAAACCAAGAACCTTAAGCGCCTTACAACAAATCATATCAATATGGGGTCGGGGATCTAAAGAAGCATTAAATTTAATGCCAAGATCTAAGACAGAGTCATAAGTAAGAATAGAATCGCCGATAAATTATGTGAGATTTAGAGCGAGTGAAAGACATATAGAAATATTTAGCGACAAGCCCAGCGCCTCAAACCAAGTTGTAAACTTGTTTGTATGATTACTATTATTTACAAATTTCCAAAAATTATGTGAGTTATTTTTAAACGATGATTCGATTTTTTTGACATATAATTGATAAAGCTTTTTTGATTCAAATTTAAATTTGGTGCGTAAAAATGAAAATTTTTTATAATTATCTACAATAAGATATGGATTTGTAAATAAAGCATAGATCTTATAAACATGGATAGGACATTGATGCTTTATCAGTGAAGACTGTGGTGATAGTAAATTGAGGCTATTTGTTTACATTATTACATGATAACATGAACTTTTTATTTTTTAATGGTTAGTAATTATTAATTATTATAAGTTATGTAATGTATAAAAATGTAAAACTTAAAACAATTATTCTTTCCAAAACTTATAAAATAGATAGTAAAACAGTAATGAACATAAATTAATTGTGATTAAAATGAATAGTTTTTGTTAGTTTTGCTCTTGTTTTAATGCGTTCTTCATTTCTTATTCTAACTTCGTGATACATTCTAACATCTAAATACTTCAACACTATTAAATTTATCATATTGTTTTTGTGGTCATCTTCAAACCAAGCATCATCTCCACAAGTTACTTTAGAACATATGTCATAACTTCTATATAGTTCAGTTTTAACTTTAATTAAAAAAAAATTGTATGGATTTTTTGAATGGATGTGATTAGTGTACTGTTTAAATATTTTTTCAGTTACATTTGTGATTGTGTCACGTTTTCATAATCGTGAGAATTATTTTAATAAAATACAGACAGCACATCCGCTGCCTGAGACTGGTGAATTAACAAATAATATTTATTGCCAAATCGGCAATAGGTGTAATTATTATAAAAACCCAATAGACCTGACCATCGTGGTCAGTCGACTCCAGTGCCTTGTGTCATTCATCAGTCTCAGTACTCGGTTGTCGCTGTCCGGCTTACTGTTTAAAGTAAAGTCTTTGTTTATTCCTTTTCTAACCTATATACTCTTTTCCTCGACATTTCAGAGTACTTGTGTTTTGCACTTCGTCTGCACCTTATACTCGGCTACCCCGTTCTCTCTTTGGAGTACTTGTGTCTTGCACTTCGTCTGCACCTCGTACTTTGTTATAATCCTTATCTGGTACGCCCAGTATTTGTGTCTTGCACTTCGTCTGCACCTCATACTTTGGGCTCCTTTTGCGTACACCTGGTTAT